GATTAGGCGTGATACTTACTGAGTACACGTTGTTTTCGTACTCATGTTACACTTGTTGTGCATTTTTGTTGCATAGGCACATGTATTTCTAGTGGCCTACTGGCCGTAGCAGCATGGATGATACGGAGACTAGGTGATCTGCATTTACCGAGGCGACCCGCAACCAGTATAGTCTTTTTCAGCGTATTGTATTTACTTTCTGTCCAATTTGTATTCTGGACAGTTATTGTACTTTATTCGATTTCTTAGTAATTGCTCATGCATTTGTGACACTGGGTTCTGGGATGTTTACGGAATTATTCATTATTTTAAAATTGTTAAAGATATTATTATTATTATTCAGTGGGACTTATTCCTTATTGTTTTAAAGGTATAAAAGAAGCGAATTCATAAATATCTAAGACGAGAAGTTACTAATTATTTAGTGTTGGCTTGCCTGACAATGGTGTCCGGCACCATCAAGACCCTTAGTGGATTTTGGGTCGTGACAAATTCCTTCTTGATTATGTAAATGGACAATTATTTTGGTTAAAAATAAAAAGGTAAAATAGTCACTTATTGTGGACCAGAGGGAGTAAGATTTTAAAATTACTACAATCTTGTCTATTGAATTCATATTAAATATATGTACGAAGGTTTAATAAAATCAATTTCATAAGAATCCTCCATATTGGTAATACATTACCATTCTATAATATTCAATACCAAAACAACTAAAAGTATGTTAAACAGACTACATAAAGCATTGAAACTGAGAAAAATAGATGAACAACACCCCCCCCCCCCCAGAAACGTATAGGAAGCTTTCTCCTCGAACGACTCGAGAAATGACAACTAGATCCATAAAATGATCAAATCAATTAAAGATGTAAGTCTTTTTTTCTTCTTTCTTCCTGAAAATGAAAAAGAAACCATTCGTACTCTCATAACTCAAGTTGGATAACTTTCAAACAGTGCAAAGGAAAATCTTCTGGCAATTTCATTTATTGAGCGGTCTTTCCTCCTTTTATATTTGTCTCGTTTAAAATGAATTTGGTTTCTTCAGTCCAATTGCCATTACAAAAGTAATTAGTATTTTTGGAATTAAAAGATATTTTTGGCCGGTAATTATTCCAAAAAAACTATCAATTCGGCAACAGAACCACTCATACCTGGTAATGCAAGGGAAGCCATCGAAAAGCTACTGAACATCGTGAACATTTTTGGCATTGGAATAGCTATTCCGCCCATTTCGTCAAGATAAACAAGGCGGATTCTATCATAAGTCGTTCCCGCCAAGAAAAAAAGTGCAGCACCAATAAATCCATGAGATATTATTTGTAAAAGGGCTCCATTAAGTCCCGTATCGGTTAGAGAACTAATTCCTATAATTATGAAACCCATATGAGAGACAGAGGAATAGGCTATTCTTTTTTTTAAATTCCGTTGGCCAAGAGATGTTGAAGCTGCATAGATTATTTGTATTGTACCTATTATCATCAACCAAGGAGAAAATATAGAATGGGCATGAGGTAATAATTCCATATTGATTCGAATTAATCCATACGCTCCCATTTTTAATAAAATTCCGGCTAGAAGCATACAAGTACTGTAATGTGCTTCTCCATGGGTATCTGGTAACCATGTGTGTAGGGGGATAATGGGCGATTTGACAGCAAAAGCAATAAAAAATCCAATATAGAATATTATTTCTAAAACCACAGGATATGACTGATTAACTGATGTTTCAAAATTTAATGTTGGTTCATTAGAACCATATAAAGCAACACCCAAAACTCCCATTAAGAGAAAAACGGAACCCCCCGCCGTGTACAAAATAAATTTTGTAGCTGAGTACAGACGTTTCTTTCCTCCCCACATGCATAGAAGTAGATAAACAGGAATTAATTCTAACTCCCACATGATGAAAAAAAGTAAAAGGTCCCGAGACGAAAATGATCCAATTTGACCACTGTACATTGCTAACATGAGAAAATGGAATAATCGAGAATCTCGAGTAACTGGCCAAGNTTCACCATTTTTTGGCCACTTGCATTCTTCCTTCTTCAATACATGCAAAAACGTCGCGACATGGGACAATTTTCTAGAGTTGTTTTCTTTTACTTGTTGTATTCTTTATGTGACACCCAATGATCAGTGGCAGATTCAGAATTTTTTCATTAAGGAGTGTCAAAATATAAATAATTAGATACTTTGAAAAGTCAATGGGAACCAACATATAGTAAATATACATAAAATAAAAAAAAATTGTCTAGCAAAATAGCGTAATTTTCCGGCGAAGAGGTGTCACTTGACACCCCTTGCTTCAATGTGGCTCCGCCACACCAATGATGGAGGGCAGGCTGATAAGGGAGGGTCGAGCAGAACTGTCTCACCCATGATTGGGGGGGGGGGGGGGGTAGGACTGGCACGTTTCTAGGTTAGCGTAGAAGGGTTGCACATGTCACCGTTAGGCCAATCGTAGGGGTGTGC